ATCACAGGAGGGGTGCTCCAGCCCTATCCTTCCTGTAGTTGTGGTGGAAGGCTGTTGCTCTACCTTTTAAGTTCAAATACTGCAGCTACTTCCTCTCCTCATTTATTACTTCACCCTGGCCTCTCTCAGTACTACAACACAGAGTTTTATAGCGTATCTGTCAAGAAGTACCAATTTCTGTAGAGACAGATGCTCAAAGTGTTGTGCAGCCCCATCCTGATGGGCAGCTGGGCTACCAAACAAAACCAAACAAGAAGCAACATCTTTTTAAACTGACAAAGAACATTTACATTGAAATCCTTGATTTACAAGAAAACAGTTGCATCTTGCTGGTATGTAAAAACATGAAAGAAGCAGAAACGGGGGTGTTGGATCCCTCTTAAAGGTCACCTGCTTCGAGCGGATGCTGACTGTCCTCCTGCACTGCTTCCTGCACAGGCTTGGGCATTTCAGCAGGGGCTTTGTCCCTCACAACACCATCACACCGAGGGCCTTTCTCCAGCGAACGGCACTTCGAAGATGGAAGTAGCAATTCCGGAGACCTTGAGAGAAGGAAATGTGCTTTACCGCCTTCTTCGCTCATTTAAGTGTCAGAGCATATGGCACAGCAAAGCTCCTGTAGTCGCACAAAAGCTCAGAGGTATTTATTTCAAGATGTTTTTTTCCCCTCTCTTTAATGCAAGATTAGAAATAAAAGTGTAAAAAACCAAACCCATTTACCTTTCTTTTTTTAACCCTTTGATTTTCCTGTCGAGGGAATCACTTGGCATAACATGGAAATCATTGGCTGAGGATCCCCTTGAACTACTGCATTTATAACTTCCTAGGTTTCCTTCTGAGGTTGACTCTGTCGCTTTGAAAAAAAGAGAAGCAATTCTTAAATAAGCAAAATAATAGCAACTGTTCCTAATTGTGTCTTCAGCTAATTGTTTCCTCAAGCACTCTAGCATCTCCATCCAGACAGGCTTTAGAGAGCAAAGCGTCCCAAACCCGGAACCTACACAGAACACTAAACCACGTGAAGCACAGCTAACAGCTACACGTTATTCCATATGTCAAATCATTTACAAGGCTGAGATGGCAGCTCTGTATTAGGTGGAAAAAGTGGGACAGAAATCAGGCTGAAGGCACAGGTGTACTGTTTACTGCAGTTTGTTCCTGAATGCCCTCAGCACACGGCCGTATCGCAGCTCACCAGCAAGAGAGGCGTTCACTTGAGAGCGAAGGATGCCTGTAACTGTGCTCAAACCATCAACAACTCAACAGTTTAAGTATTTACAAGTAGAACCATATATTCTATCCTAACCATGTAAACATGCAGTGTATTAATGAAATGATTTAAGCCGGTTTCCCATCCAAGGAAGCTAACCAGTACTTGGCTGCTTTAATCTTCAAACAGTTTATTTATAGTTGTAAAACCAGAATGAACCACGGAACAGTTTGGGTTGAAGGGACCTCAAAGCCCACCCAGTTCCAACCCCCCTGCCATGGGCAGGGACACCTTCCATAGGCCCAGTTGCCTCAACACCTAT